CAGTCAAAAACTTCACTCTAAGCTACAAATGTAAATTGTAGTCTGACGCTCTTACACTCATGTTACTTCATATTTGCAATGCAATGAAAGCTGACGTTGGTTGCAACAAAGTACAACTCATTTACAGAATGACTCTTCGACTTCCAGGCGAATTTGTTGATCCTTCATCATATCCGCTAAATTTGGATCTACAATTCTACATGGGTGTTCTTACAAACACTATGCATTCAGTTAAACGTGTTTCTACTCGACCACAGTCAACTGACGTTCCGTCAAACTCGATTTACGATTGAGAGCATACGTTCTGGCAAACCACTGCTCATTACGACGACCACTCGAAACGCAATACAAGAGAGACACTTTAAAGTTTGTCACTTCAAACATCGTGATTATGCCATAGACTAGAATGGAACTAACGACAACATCAACACTAACAGTCTTAAAGCCTTTTACTTAGAAGGAAACACCGATTATGTCGACTTTCCATCTGAATATCTGAACGACACCAGCCTCAAAACCGTGACTCCATCCCTAGTAACCAATGACCACGACATAACGTCTCTGTTATCTGATAACTGGCCATGAACAACGCGCTCCGGATGAACTACACGGTCTCGAGAACACTTAAACGACTATTGCATGTAGGACATCGCTTAAATTTTTATTTTATCTTATTTTATGCTCACCAATATTATTTGGTTGTACTCTCGGCTTTTTTAATACTAATGTTGCAAAGCAAATGTTTTTTTACGGTATTCTTTTCTGTAACTCCGCCTGTAGCTCTTCTAGAGTTAATGCCGGTCCCAAACCGGGTAAAGGAGGAGGGTTGGGCATGGAGTTAGCGACCCTAGCCCGTAAAAAACTAACTCGCTAAAAAATGATTCAAACCATTTAAACTCTGTCCTGGGAGTTAGGTTTTTATTTAGAAGAAATATGATGCCTCATGATGAAAGCCGAGCTCCTTCGGAAGCCACGAGGCCGGTGCCTCTTCTAACAACCAGAACAACAATTTTTATAGGTACATGGAACGTCTGGACAATGTGGGGAACCGACAAGATCAGTCAAATAGCAACGGAAATGCGGAGATACAACTTTGTAGTACTGGGAATCAGCGAAACCCATTGGACACAAGCTGGACAGAAAAGGCTAAATACGGGAGAGATGCTGCTGAACTCCAGTCATGAAGAGGAAAATGCTCCACACACTCAGGGATTTGCTCTTATGCTGTCCAAAATAGCACGAAATGCACTTGTAGGATGAAAACCTCGCGGATCCAGAATCATCAAAGCATCACTGAAAATAAATAATCAAACTGCATCACGAAGCAAGCCCTAACTTGGAATCCTGAAGGGAAGCGGAAAAGAGGAAGTTCAAATAACACATTGCGTCTGGAAATAGAAACAAACGTGAAAAAGATGAGTAACAACTGGAAAGAGCTGGAAACGATTGCCCAGGACAGGGTTGAATGGCGAAGGCTGGTGAGCGGCCTATGCTCTTTTACGAGGAGTAATAGGCGTAAGTAAAAATTCCTTTCTGTGTGTGTTGTATTGCAACACATGGCCGCTAATATTAGAAAAAGATTATCACATGCCGCTGAACATATCGACCTATCAAACGAGTGTTTACCAACGGTAAGGTAGTTGTATTTAAACTTCAGGCTGGCCACGCTTTAGGGACACCACTACATTGCTACGTGTGAAGTGAGCTGTAAGGTCAGATAAAGGCACAAAATAAATAGTTCTGTATTTCTCCAACGTTGAAGCTGAACTCATTGGTCTTGATGGAAACACCCTAGGTGAAGGCTGTCCATTACGCATCCACACAAATTCACCATTCTACGCATACCTTGCAAATACTAGTAAGCTGAGATCAAACGTTTGTAGGTATATGAACAACTTTCCAAATATATCTTTATTTCCGACTTCTGATTTGACTTGGTCTGACATCTTTGGCTGGAAGAAAAAAGCGACGTATCATTACTAAAGTAATCTCTTAGTATCCCGACAATCATAATTGAAATAACTCTTAACTCATAGAAGAGTCAAACTTCTCAGGTCTCTTGTCTCATGGCAAGCGAGACACATCTGGGTTGTTGTCTCTTCAATTAGTTTGTAGATAATTGCACTAAATTCAAATTAAGGCGTGACATGTGCAGTTCTGCGTCGTGTTTTTGTAGAGAATAAGGCCTTTGGTCGAAAGTACTAAAGCCTAACCCCAACAATTATAATAAGCAAACTATTAATTCTGAAGATTATTATTCTGTTAACGTGGTTTACAATGAGGTACTATTTACAGTCTCTTTTTATACAACTATTCTTAAGCCCAATAAACAATAAGTCTAGAAATGGGGTTGTGAATGTCTATCTTAATTAAGTTCAGTTTGTTAAAGTGTATGTATTCCTAATTGATAATTTGTCGTGAGCTATAAATAGCACAACATAGTCAAACTCTATCTGACGTAGATGCTCAGTCGATCGCGAAGGGTATGTACAGTAGCACCAACATAGTATCAAGGATAAAATAATTGCTTTGAAAATTTATTCGTTTACTGGTACAGTCAATTAAGATTTGTAGGAAGTGTGGTGCGAATGCATCAGTGAAGTTGGGAAATTTTGACTCTTGGTGCATTCTTTCTGAATCTTAAGGATGAAAATAAATAATTGGTAGATGTGCAAGTGATCGTCAATTAACCCCCACAGAGATTGCTTGCATTGTTTTTAGAACTAAAGTAAATGTACAATCTTCTTTCGGGAGACTATAGAAGGTTTATTGACTGTTTCCTGGAAAATTTTGGAAAAACCTATGTGTGGCCACACCCATGTTCCATCTTAAATGTATTTATTATTAGATGTGGTTTAGTATTAAAACGTAAATCAGTCTATTCGCGTGGAGAGATTATATCACCTCAATTCTCCTGCGAAACACAGAAAATATGGAATTTACATGGGGAAAAATTAAGGCACATTCGCTAATTCGAGTGAATGTGCTATCGGTCTTCCTTAATCACATTTCAAGACAGAAACAGCTTTATTGTAACTGAGTTGAATGACCAAGGAGTCCTTAGCAGATGGAATTTTGAGTATACATATGTTGTGTTGTACTGTAGATTTTGGACACATAACATGCAGTAAGCATTTACTACACCCTGTCCCAGTATCTGGGGCCTAATATCCCGGTAGGCAGAGATTATGATTCCTCAGTAAATTGGCTGGTTGATGTAATTGAACTGATCAAATACGAATAGAGTAAGTTCGAAACCACATTGGAGGCCATAACAAGATTGTTCATCCCGTGATCAACACGTGAGCTATCACGCCACTTTCCATGAACTGGTAGGTGCAAGTACAGGAAAATCCGGAGTGTGTGTAACAGGCCCTATCTAGATCTCGCGCTACTCAAGAAACGCAGTTGGAATAAGGTAGATAAACTAATCAACCAGTCAGTCTGTAAAAATGGCCTGCACCTACCATTGCAGAAATGTATTATTATTCATAGATTATTATTAGTCAAGAAAGATTCTCTCATCCATTAAGCGAAGAACAAAATATGGCGGCGGAATTCCGGATATCTCAAAGAAATCCGATATAGTATAAGTTATTTCTGTGAATTATAATCTGGGTGAATAGTTATTAATACTTACCATTGCTACACTGTTAAGATACCAGCTTTCGAACCAGTCTCTGTTACTGACGAAGATGTTGTTCAATCACTTCAGTCACCTTAGGAGTTTGAGTTCATGAAATAATTCTAGAAAAAGCACGCTCATTTACATTGGGCGCAAAAATGATAATTCATATACTATCGATGGCAAATCTCATCAAACGAACGAAAAAACCTAGTAGTAGTAGGAAACCAATATTCGAAAACAGCTTCGAGTACTCTGGTCACCTAACCAGCGTTATAATGCTTTGACGAAGTTATGCTTCGGATTTTATGTCCGCTTGTGTGTTATTTCACTCAAAATATTGATTCCATGCAGCTAATCCATATTTTAATTAAGTCGCCAAACACTTCAACATGTTCGTTACGTGAGAATTAGGTTAGTGACAGGTGTTCATAAGCTCTTCTACTGTGAGGGATCAAAATGTTGAAAACTTCTCTGATGCTTGGCGACCTTATAATGAAATTTCGTATCCCGGAAGATGATTTGAGTGTTGAGCTCTGCTATCTTTTTGGTCTCAGAAATAATCATCTCCGAGGCCACAGTAAGGTTCCCAAACCGTGATCAAATAAAGTCAGTGAGACTCAATCTTAACCTTCAAGTGTTCACGGATGATAACAATTTACTGGAACAATTGGTATCAGCATCATAAGGAAAAACTTCAAGAGAGAAGCTGTACCTCCACAAGACAACAGTCTACAAGAGTTAACACATGTCAACCGACCTACTATTGTTACCACCGAAAGCTGAAGTGATACTGTGTGATGAGGTCGTGCTTCTATATCCTATGTCAAGGAACATGAAATCTCGTTCTTTTCACGGGACAGTGGACAGTTCAGCAATTCAGAAAAGAGGAAGATCGACGTTTCTGTTTGTTGAGATTGAAATGTAGACACAGTAAGACCGTGACAGCCCTGAACACCTTATTTCTTCTGTCGTATAACTGAAGTGTTTTATATGTTTTCTTCATCAAATAACAGTTGAGAACTGTTTAATGATCTCAAATACTTATAAGAAAGTTTTGGCTACTTTTGACTGCTATAGAGCGCGGTTTTACGATTGGTTCGCTACCTTGTTAGGAGTATCACACTTGATACTACTATGTAGAATACTTTTCATCACATTAGATTGTAAAGGGTTAGGAAATTGTTATCAAAGGAGTCTGAAGAATGCGAAGTCTTAGGATATTTAGAATACTATAATGCTGATGGAATGTTTAGAACCGATTTTGCGCCCTGCAGATGTAGCCTCCATTTTACTTTTAGTGTATATATGCATTCAGTATATAGGTTCGTTCCTTGTTTCTGGTAAAGATCATCACGAAAGAGCTGAAATAGTGCGTCAAAAGTTGGAAGCGGCTCGCGTAAGTTGGAAAAATTTGTTTCTCGGAAGGGAATTCCTGATCACATGAGTATTTATGACATACTTTTTGTCACTTTTCCCTCAAAGCTGCGGATCCTGAACCCTTTTTTGGGCGAACTTTTGGACAAAATCGCAGGCCTGGGAAGAGTTTTAGCAAATTTTGGGAAAAACTCAATCTCCCGGCTTTTGGGAAGTTTTAGGGTTTTCTCCAAAATAATAAATTTTGGAGAAAATCAGAGGAAAATCTAAGGTTTTAGTTTCATAATACCAAATTTCTGTCGTGGGTTTTGCCCGAAATCGCTAACCTTCTAAAAGTCGCGCAAGTGGGAAGTTCCAGTCTCTGGGAAAGTGGGTGAATTTAATAGAAATCCTACATGTGAGTAGATCCTGGGATTTTCAGTTGACTTTTGACAAAGTGTGCTCAAACGTTCCAATGGGGCTGTCTCGAAGTCGATTAATTTTGTCCCGGAAGCTTGCGGTATATATTTATAAGAAAGTGACGCGCTTATGTTAGAAAATTCATAATTTTTGCAGACTTGGTTTTGTAATTTATTTCAGTTGTCGGTTATACAGGGTATTGAGGTTGTAGTTAGACTTTCCACCAAAATACACTAAAACCGTGAGTCCTCTTGATTGTGTTAGGAAGTACGGAATGTGAGCTTGTCTTTACAGTCATGAAAGAAGGTATCTAAATACCGACATGTATTTTGATTTATTGGTACTATAAAACAATATTAGGGGTCGCATGTTGGAATTTGATGCATCATCACTTTGTCATTTTCAAGTTTTGGGGCGATTAAAACGGATTTCCAGTCTACTTTAAATAACCAAAATTTAGTCAAGGTTTTCTGCCAAGGTCCTCTTAAATTGATACAGTGTGTAACATGGCGTTAGTTCCTCCGTCTTTTTATGTCTGTGGTCTGATATTAACCAACAATACTCTGGAAATGAAATGACTCATACTTTCCATCATTTAACTAACTATATTCTTATTTTTTTGTTTTAGAAATATACCCACAGTAAACCAATTATCTTGCTGATATCTTTAAGTGGAGTTAAAGTTTGTCATGAAAATAAGGAGGTGAGGTTTATGACAAATTTCAACGTGTATCTTGTTTTCGATGTAACTAGTGTAAAAGAATGTCATTTCTTAACTTTGTTTGACATCTTGTAATTTCATTCAATGTTTTATTTCCCATGCTTTTGGAAGCGCGTTTATATGGCTCATGCACTTCGACGAATTTCGTATGCTACCTGTGACCCAGAAAATCTTCAGTTTGCCTTCCTTGCCAGGGAACCAAAAGCACAACCGAATGTCCAATATTGTCATGCATTCGTCACTATAACACCTGAAGCAGTAAGCTTTTAGCACCTTGGTGTCTTATTTATCATCTTTCATATCCAGCATGGCGATAATTTTTTAATCTGCTAACTTGTCTGCTTTGTACTTGTAGTTAAACGCAAAATAAAAGACGTGAAAATGTTCCAAAACACAGAAAAAATAGTGTGAATAATTCAATTTCGTCGAAACAAACGTATAAAATTGATGAGAATCGGTTTCATATTTATGTGATTGGTATTTTTGATACAATTTGTAATGACTTTAGTTACCACGCATGTCGAACATGTGCTGCATAGCTGATAAAACAGGTTTTAATTAATATGTATATGCAGATTTAAGAAGCTTTCACTGGCCGATATATTTATGGCTGTAATTTTAAGTTACACTTGACAGTTTCATCTTTCTAAGTTTCGGTCCTCTCCATCCTAACCAGGTTATTTTAGATAAATGGTTTTAATACGTATATGTGCTTATCAAATTTCTGCTTAACATCTGGTATGTTTACCAAAGTTCAACTTTTTTAGTTTTAAAAGGCGGATATATTTACTCACTCATCTTATTGATGGGCGATGATTGCTACTGTGGACTTCGGCCATCAACCCGTTAATTCTGTAAATTGTAAAGCATTCCAATTGTATAGTCGTAGTAAATCAGGATGTAATTTTTCAGAGCTTGTAAGATGCGAAGCTTATGGGCTCATCCATCATCTCACCACTTACCTGTTGTAAACGTTTTCTGATAAACGGAAATAAAAAATGACAATGCAGATATGTATAAAAAATTTCAGGCAATCAAACGTTGATTCATTTTCACTGGTATCCGCATGCTGTCCAACCTAGAAACAAAATCGATGAGGTTCAAAGTTTTACGGTGCTGCGACAGGTTAACTGCCTTTAGTGTGTTTTGAATAAATTATGTATTCTTTGCCTTTAACATTTTGTAGGATCCACTTTTTTCCCACACCGTATTTGTATGCCTGTGTGTATTTTTTCCCTTTCTGTGTTAATATGAAGTTCTGTGACATTTTACAAAAAGTACCTTCGAACTTTTGTAGGCCGAGGAACTGAATACCATAATGGGAGAGGTTTTTCGCTTAGCGTATGCCCAGCAACGTCTTCATACAGTATCTAACAATCCTGTTTTGTTTCACCAGTTTGGTAAGCATATACCAGTTTGTCAGGTTCAGAAAGCTCCCATAACTGTCACATGTTCTGTTTCTGCTAACCAGGATAACTCAGTGAGCACAAAATCTTCAAGGTTGGTATTCTGGATTTACTCTTTACTTTTGTAAACTATTATTACCGGTTTATATCATTAAATAAAGATTGAAATTGTGGTTTGAATTACAGTATGACTTACCGGATTTTAGTTTTTTTTTCAGTTAAGTCGTGAATATAAGTCAGCAATACGAGATGAATAAAAGCGGGTGTAGACCATCCACTATTTTATAAACTTCTCGCTTTCGATCGGGTTATCTAGATTATGTTTTATCTTTAGTTATCGATAAAACTTTGGAGGCAACAACTCAGATATTAGACTGTTTATTTCCCGAGAACAATCAGTATGGTCTTTTGGTTGATACTATGTTGATATTTCATGGGAAATTGAGCAAGTGCACATTTATGATAAGTTCTTACGTTGCTTATAACGCTGACCAGCATTAAAATCAAGGGTTTTCAAGTCACTCTGGTCTCAGTCTAAAACCATTAATTTCAATAACGGCAAAAAGTTTCAGAAATTTGGTGCCTTAGCTACGAAGGTAGCTTTACTTATTAACTTCGTTGGCATCAATGGTACATAACGATCAATTTAAGGGTATATAGTCTCACTTTGACAACAACGCATACCAATTTATTGAAATAGACATTTCGTTCAAGTAAATATCCCTTGATAACACTTAGATAATCCATGATCTTTATGATCGTTTACTTGATGGTTCTAGTAGATTCATTCAACTGCAGTCATTGAAACAAACATGTCTTCCGTTTTTAGTTCTCTACACTACTGTCAATACCTGTAATCCTTATTTCTCACACACTCAGTCTTAACCTTTGTCATTGTCATATTTGATGACTTTATTTTCCAAATTATTTCAATTAATAGAACTACAAACACATGTGCCTAAGTAGAATAATAGATGCTACGAAAGTCAATTATAGCTGATCTCTTTTCGCGATAGATTATATATTCAAATCATGGTATTTCTAAAAATGAAATATCCAAAATGAGAATTACTTGTTAAAATATAGACATAATGGCTAGTTGTTTAAGTTAGTAGAGCTGTGGAATAATTACTGAAGTACTTTCAACCAGTAGGTTGCATGTTCAAATACTGTCCCATTTACCTCAGTTTCGACAACCTAGTGGTACCAATAATCCTCGCAAAAACAATATAACTCAAGGCAAGTATACAAACATTTACTCCGTTAATTAATCATATTAATTTAAATTTTTAATTTAGTTATTTAGATCACATTGTTTTTTTATACATTGATATACCCAATTTGTTGGTTGATATCTGTTTCCTATAATCCTATTAACTTGTTTCATTGCATTAATAAAGTTTTACGTTAGGTTCGTTTATCATTATTTGTTTTTTAGTCAAGCTGTCTACGCTGTCAACGTAAATCCGACCAGTCAAATATCCATGCCTAGCAAACTTCTTCCACCTTTACCAGAAGCTGATCATTGTGCAGCAAGTAACCAGACACCTGTTTCTGTCCAGTTTGAAGTGAACAATATTCCATCAAGTGAAGCTTGTGCTGTCGGTAATAGACAGAGAGGAAGTAAACCTCATAAGTAATTATTAGTACTAATTATCTGATAGCTTATTGACCCAACATTTCGAAATGTTTCTTTTGAGCTTTGCTTGTTTACTTACTGACCTTACTCTCTATAAAACACTTTTGTTCAAATGACTTAAATAGTTCAGATTTTCAATAAAAAAATTAGGATACGCATTCTCTGGACTGGTATTAGTTGTCACGCTTCTTATAGTGCATTAGATCGTATTTTTTTAATCCTAAACGAATATCGATTGAGAGTGTCAGAAAAATACTGACGTATAAGCGGTTATTGTGTTCCAACTAATTTTTTTTCACAATTCCAAATTGCTAGGCTTCATTCTTATCTGTCATAGTAATTATCTGTCGTCGTCCTCCAAAGTTTGCTTCACTGTGATGGTTAGCCTTGACGAGTCAATCACTATTATCATAAAGTTCCATTGTGTGTGGTGGGTGCTATTTAGTCGACAGACACAAGTAGTATGTAACACCAATCAGAAGTTGAATGCCTGTCAAAAGAAGGTTGAAGAGATTGCATTAGAAAAAGCAGAAAGGAATTGTGAAATGGAGAAATCATGAAGGTTGTGAAGGACAATCGATGGAGGATTTGCAAATTAAGTATTTAGTGTGTAGTTTTCATATTTTATGAAAGAATTCTGTAATTTTGCATTGAATAATAAATTGGTTGTCTCCACCTGAGCGTTCGTTCACTACAAGTGTACTACACACTAATTGTTATTTACTAAGTGTCTGATAACTATTTGTGCTGCTGATATCTATCGGCTGGTAACTGATATTTCTGTTTTAATTTGTGGGTTTATGATTCTAAATTCTAATCATTCGTAAATCGATATTCCACTAATATATTTTGATAATATCGCCAAGTATCATAAAGTTAGTCACCGTAATCTGCTGATATTGTATTCAGGAGTGCAGCTTTATCTCCTAAAATCGGCCTGCATGGAGTCATTGCCTACCTCATGAGTCATTTATCAACTATTTTGTCGAAACGAAGTTTTTTCACATTAAAAAATAAGTTACATGAATAATATATTTAGTCTAGTTAAAATAGTTTTTATCAGCCGTATATAAAACCTAAGTTAATGCATTCACCTTAGAAATGCTTCTGGTTGTATTATGTATACTGTGTCAGATGACGAGATGGCTTAGTGGTTATGTGCTGGGCTTTTGACCAGTAGATTTCATGTTAAAATTCTACCTCTACCTTTATCAGAGCACCTGAGGTGTATCACTACCGCTCGCACTAATAATGTAACTCAAAGTCCAGTAAACAAGATTGTACCTGTTCAGTGGGAATCAATTACTGCGTGAAACAAACGTTTCCTATCAAATTACCGATTGTTTAAGGTTTCCATCTTTTTATTTCAGTGTTTTTGAAAGAGTGGTTTACATTTTATTCAAAATATGGTATTAAGTTAAAGTAATGTCTAGAAATTCCCATTTCGTTAGTCAAGTTTTCACTTTCACTGAAATTCATTAATTTGAAACGGTGTTATTCTTTGGGATATATTCTACGAAGTTTGGTTGTTGTTGGTGCCTCTTCAAGTTGTTTTATGCTTATCTTAAAAATTATTTCATAGAATCATTAAATACCTACGTTTGTGCTATCTGACCTGTGTACGAGTCTTGTACAGAACCTCTACATTCACAGTGTAACAAGATGAATAGTAACTTACCAACATTATTGTTGCCATCTGTTACTCAGTCCTTGGATGGACCTTACAGTCTTAAAACGGATGAGTATTTAGATTTCGTTGCAATTCCTACCCTTACATGTGTTTATTATTTTTATTTTTTACAGACATAAACATCACAAGCATCATCATCGTCATAAATTACGAGATGCAACAACAAGTACGTGTGAACAACTTTTAGGTTCGAGCGACTCTGTTGACCCTACTATTAAAGTTAATGAATCGGAAGGACTCATAATGAAGAGTGAACAGATAAAGCCACCTCCCCCACCACCGCGTTCTCATTCATCAGTAACTTCATCTACGCAGCTGTCAACTAAGAATATCACATCTACCCCAGCTGCAAATCACCAAAGCCCAATTTTAAAGCATCATGAGAAATTACACGGAATGGAAGTGAATAAAACCCCACATGAAATGACTGAAGATCCTAATGAGGTTTTACCGTTAAGACCTAAATCTACGACATCTGTGTAAGTTCAATGTCTTTTTACGAATCTTTTCTCCTTTTTATTACATCGATGAAGAATATGATAGAATCATTTGTGCTGTATGAATTCCCTCGCCTTACGTCAGGATAATAGCTTTTCTTTAGTATTATGATGATTTCTTATTGACAACTTTTTACTGAATAAGGAAATTAAATTCTAATTAATTGTCCAGAAGCAATCGCTTAACAGTTAAAACGCTCAAAAATCAGACCGCTGGTTCTAACTGTTATATTTCAAGTGGGAGGAACAGACAGCAAACGAATAATGTAACCGAAGTACGAATCACATTTTACTTCTGTATAAGGCTTATCCGCTACTCAGTGTTAATCGATTTGTCTCCCTACATATGAAACTAATAAAATAGTAAAATGTTATTACAAACTTGATTAATCTTATTTATTTTAACAATTTGGTTTTTTTTCTTCTTAAATATCACTTAGACTGGCACAACACTTCTATGATATGGCTGATCATCGCAGCTGTGGTGGTATCGCTCCTGACAAAGAAACTCCTATTCCAGAAAAAGATATGCAAGAAAGTAACGCTGAATTTATCAATGATAGTGCTCCAGCCAATACGTCTACAGCAACAACGACGTCATCATCAACTACTGGGTGCTCAACCGCTACATCTGGCTCTGGTCATCATGACTCCAGTTCTGATAATAGTTTACCGATTAGCAAACGTTGTACATGCACTCCAGGTTGCACCAGTGGTGAACATACGTGCTCAATATTTGATAATAATCCGCATCCTGGAGATTCGAATCAGTTGCTGAAACCCACTGAACAGCACCTTCCCGTTCCTCCCACATCTCCGTGCTCCACTCCAAACGTCCCTACACAAAATGTCCCAGATGATATCAATGAGTTGTGGCATGCTCCTTGGTATCTTCCAGATTTACCACGTGAAAAGGCTTTGGAAATGCTTGCCAAACAACCTGTATGTTTATCCTCCATATACATTTTTGCATGGATTTTGTTTGTGTTATAATTTCTCTTGTTACAACCCAGCTACTCCTGTTGCTTAGTATTCTTGGACACTGCTTCGCTCGGCAAGTCCCAAAATTAGGACACGGTTGAACAGGAACGCAATTATATTCCAAATAAAAAGGCTAGATGGAAGTAGGAATCGCAATAGGAGAAACATTAGTATATTTATAGTTTTTTTTTACACGGCAAGGATCTAGAGTCTTCTTCAGGTATCCTTTAGCGCTGATTGGATAAGAAATAGCCAATCAGTGTGCCCCAAAATAATCCTACACGGAACGTACTTTAATCTACATCCCACCAACAGTTTGCCTCACTATCATACCGTGGACTATCGGAAATAGTTCTGTTATGAAGATTATGTTATTCTTATTTTATTTTATTTGAACACATAAATATTGGTACAAGTGGGCACCAAATATGTATGCGCCACACAGCACAATGAGAAAGGGAAGACAGAAAAAGAAGGTAGGGAGCGTAAAAGGAAAAAAGAAGAGCAATAACGACCAGATTAGTGTAGGGTAGTGTAATAATAATAATAATAATGGGGAAAAAGGAAAGGTACAATTAGAAGAATTCTTTCGGTTAAGGAAGATACAACCAATTTTTATGGAGAAAAAAAGGATGTTACAGCAGGATCGTTACTGGCTTCTATTCTGAGCCATATCTGACAATGTCTCTAGCCACTGTGTCGTACCATCTCTCGGACCCCAGCCAGGGAGTCGTGAAGGACCAACAGAAGCCAGCCCTTTGCAGATTTCTTTCATACCACGACACCATGTCATACACTGACCACCTCTTCGCTTTTTTCAACCAGTTCCAGAGTCGGTAAATATTGCACGACGTGGAATTCTCTGGGACGACATTCGCAGAACATGTCCATGCCACCGAAATCTATGTTTCAACATAGTGACACCAATGAAATTATCGTCTCTGCACCCAAACACACGATGCCGGACCTCTGCATTACTAACATGGCGTTGCCACTGGATGTCAGCAATCCTACGGAAACAACGATGATCAAACACAGAGAGTCGTCTAACATCCTCAACTCGGAGGGGTCTGGTTTCACAAGCATAGAGCAAAACTGCTCTCACCGACGCGTTGTAGATCCGACCTTTTACAGCCGGACTAACATTACGAAGGCGCCAAAGGTGGCCCAGATTGGCATAAGCCGCTCTGGCTTTCACTATACGTAGATTGATCTCATCACTCACACCCCCACCAGCACTTATGCAGCTACCCAGATACACGAACTTCTCGACTACTTCTATCTGCTCACCATCTAGGGTGAGTACAGGATTAGAATCCTGCCAGTCTTGTAGAAGTACTTTGCACTTCGAAGGTGCAAAGCACATACCATACTTACGGACACTGATTGCCAACTGATTAAGTGCGGATTGCATGCATTGGGCATTATCGCACAGTAAGACAATATCGTCCGCATACTCAAGGTCGAGGAGTCTTTCTCCAGGCAACAGATCCACACCATCATTACTTACATTCATCAGAGCTGTTTCCAGAATGTCATCGATGGCAAAGTTGAAGAGGAATGGTGAGATTGGGCAACCCTGCCTAACCCCACTGCTCGAATGGAACAATGGAAAGAGGTGGTTGTATGCCCTCACTCTGCCTGAGGTGTTTGTATATAGGGCCTCTAAGATGTTAATAAACTTCTCAGGCACATCCTTCTTCAATAGACAATCCCAGAGAACAGTCCTGTCCAACGAATCGAAGGCAGCCCTTATGTCAAGAAACACTACGATTGTTGGCCCTTGATATGACGGTGTTCTAACATTTGGCGGAGGGTGAAGATATGATCAATACATCCTCGACTAGAACGAAACCCAGCCTGCTCCTCGCTAGTCAATCTTTCTCGGGTTTCGAACAACCTACGAAAGATGACGGAAGCCAATAGCTTGGACGCAATCGGAAGTAGACTTATCCCCCGATAGTTGTTACAGGAACGACGTGAACCCTTTTTAAAGATAAGGACAACTGTCGACTCATTCCATGACGTTGGAACACTCTTTAGCTCCGAGACCTTTGTAAACAACGTCCACTTGCCAAAAAGTCATCACCATCTCTAAAAAGAGCTGGAGGTAAGTCATCTGGGCCCGGTGATTTGTAACGCTTCAATAGTTGGAGTTCCGCCTCATTTGGTGGATCAGTCGTCACCGGCCATGGAGGGCAGGACAGTCTGACCGATGTTGCCGGAGCAACAGGCCAGTTGAACTGCCCTTCGAAAAATTCTCCTCATCGTCCAAGACGTCGATGGATGTTAGTGATTGGCATCCCATCATCCTCGCAGATTGTTTCGCTCACACCAGACTTCTTGCTGCCAGTGGCTCGGATGAGTTGGAAGAGCTTCCGGTAGTTACCAGATGCACCTGCTGCTTCCAGCTCATTAGCACGCTTCGACCACCAGGCTTCTCGGTCCTTACACAAGCTTTGCCCAATTGCCTTACGTGACATCCTTCGTTTCTGGTCAAACTCACGGTCACCCGGAGTAGACTGATGGGCTTCAATGAGTTGTAAGGAACCTGCAGAAAACCAGTGCTTATAAGCGAGACGTTTCGCGAACCCATAACTGACTGTACCCGCCATTTTCATGGCGTCATGCAATTGCAACCAATGCTCATCTATACTTTTCGGTGGAATGGTAGCTAGCCTAGAGGCTAGCTCGGTTCGATACTTATTTGCAACAGAAGTTGCAACCAGCCTGCTAATATCAATCCTTTGCTGGCGGTCACTTCGTTGTCCACTGAAAAGTAAGGCAAGATTGGCGCAGACCAAGGCATGGTCAGAGTCCAGATAGGTACTCCAAAAGGAGCGGCAGTCTTGTACACAACCATGCCAGCGGTAGCTGATCGCGATGTGATCAATCTGAGTCCAGGCTTGAGATGCAGAGGGAGGACGCCAGGTGGCACATCGTCGATGACTGTGCCGAAAGTTAGTGCTATCCAGAAACAGGTTGTGATCTGTGCACAGCTGCAGTAGACGGTCCCCGTTATCTGTCCTGTGACCAACAAGTCCCCATCGGCCACCTAAACGATTCTCTTCTGTGCCTAGACGCCCGGCCTGAGCATTCAAGTCTCCGGCTAGTACTACAATATCTGTCGAACGCACTTTCTGGAGAAGAACAGATAACTGGTGGTAAAACTCATTCTTGATTGCATCCGGGCTGCAATCTGTCGGGGCATAGGCGGAGATGACGAAAAGACATCGTTTCTCACGCCGATTTCTTCTCACTTTGATGGGACTCTCTAATCTACCAGCACATAGCCGACTGTTAATGGGGATCCTATCGATTAGTGCTGCCTCAGCTCTAGCGCTCAGTGCGACACCAATGCCAGCGAGACCAGATGAAGATGCCACAGGGTCCCCGGATAAGCGCACGTAAAACAAGTTTTTTGAAGTGACAAATGGAGAGCGTATTTGTAGCACTTGGCCAGAGTCTTGAATACGGGTCTCGGATAGACAACAGATGTTGATATTAAGACTTTCTAAATACATAGCCAGCCCTATCTGTTGTCCGACCTGCATAAGTGTGCGAACGTTGAAGACAGCCAGTTTGAATGGTGCACGTGGTTTCAGAAAAACTGCTTCAGTTGTCGTATTCGGTGGTAACATACAATTTTCAACCGGACAGTGACTCGAGAACGTTTATATAGAACCGAGTTGCAACCATAGGCGAGCTGCTGCATAAGTCGAAAAGTAAGGATACACAGAGTGGGAATAAAAGAGAGTGAATAATTGACGTGGTAAATAATAGTACTAATAATGTGAATTGTCTGACTGTAAATCGATGCGAGAATAGAATTTTCAGTAAATATCGTCATTTTCATCTTATTTGTGTGTGGGCTGTGATACTGCTCGGGTGCCCAGACCTAAGCAGCTGGTTTTCTTAGGAGGCCACACCCCGAGCCTTTGACCTAAAAGTCCGACCCACAAGGCAGTGGAGCATCGTGAGGAGATGCAGTCCCATGGTAGCCGGTGACCAATAAATCGGTTCATACGCCATTTGTTCCCTCAGGATACTGGAGCCCATGTGCACCATTGTTTTGGAACCCGGTTAAAGCGCCGGACATTCGCTTTTCGTCCTCTCATTTTGTAGACAACATCCCCGCCACGAGAAGGCAGTGAGTAGGACTTCCCTGGCAGAGGCTGTATACGCGTGGTCGTGTGAGAGCATTTCAAGAGGGAGGGCGGGCCAACCTCACTCTCGGCCATACCGAGGCATTTGGGGGCTGACGATTATGTGTTAAATATACTTCCAAATTACTTTATTACGAACAGTTGTAATTTATTCTAAATAGAATGATTTAGTTAAATTACTAAGGTTATCATTGAAAACAATAGTTATCATTACTAAGTGGTCTGAAAGGGCTATTTAATTACTTTTTAAATTATTCTTACCCCAAAATCTGTATGTTTAATCATTGCAAATAATTTGTACTTATAATGCATTGATGAGTATATATTTGTTATTGAGACCTAACAATCAAACTAAATCTCTTTAAACACTTGCTGGCAGTATCTATTCGAACAACATATATTTCTTTGGTCATTCTAGTTCACGTTTTTTTGTGTGAACGAGTAGTATTTGCTAGTGCTGGTTAGTTTGTCATTGGTTTAGCTCAGGGAAAGTTAATAAAAGTCGATATTCCGATTGGTGATTTTGTCATATGATATTTGACAGGGTCAAAAGGAAATCATAACAATTGGTGATGTGAAATTCGGAAAAAAGCCATAATAATTGACGAGTATTTTGAGAAAATAACAATAACAACAGTCTCAATGTATAATATTGCAGGGCAGGGATTTATGATTGCAAAAGAATCCTGCACCCAATAAACAGCTGCTCTCATCAGGAAATAAGGATTACTGAAATATTTTAAACCCACATTTGTTTGCCGAGTATTTGAAAACGTGCAACAGAAAAATAAGATTAAAGTCTTTCTGTGGAGAAAATGGCGACACTGTTTCAGCATTAGCAGCAGTTTTAAAAATTGGTTGGAATTCACAGAAAAATTACAAATAGGGCTGGTGAATCTTCCACATTTTAGAACTATGACGGAAATCGATGAATTGATCTTTAAATAGCATACAGAAGTGGTAAATTCCTTCAGAATGAACGTATCAACGAGGAGCTTCAGGAATGGTTGACAAGCAGTAATGTAAACGATACAGTAGCAGTCGTACACGATCCTCCAAATGGTTGAGTGATGGTCATTTCAGAAACATGTCCTATGGTGGGTTCTAAACCAGTTATGCCCGAAGTAGAATGTACAATTAGTGAGTCGTCTTATTAAATGCACATGGAATTGTTGCAGTACCAGAGGATCAAGAACAAAAGATTCTGTAAATGAAGCTCCAAGTTCAGAACTGACCCTACATAACTCTGATGCTAAAATCCAACCAAAACAAACTTATGGTTCACGTGATGCTTATCTCTGATCAGATTTCTCATGTTATTTTACTTGACATAAGTTATCCTAATAATTCACATGCATCTAATGAAGTTCTTAGTGAATTTTAGGAGTGTATTTCAGAAGAATCAAATTCTAGTGAAACTTCTGATTATGTCATATCATATGTTGTTTGTTCTCTCAATGTATTTGTTTTTAATGAAATCTTTGGTCACTGTGAGGTATAAGTCCTGAATGAATTCGAATCTGATTACAGTTCTGATGATCTCCCACATTAAATGTTGTTTGTCCTCACAAAAAAGTCACTTCTAGTGAATTCTCTAGTCGGTATGAGAAATATGTTTTAAATGAGTCACATAGTTTGTTATTGACAGATCGAAATACAAGACATGCTTGTTCTTATTGTGACTGAAATAAGAGGACCTTATTTTTCATATGGAAGGCGAAACAAGGACCATGTTTAATATTACTCATACAAGTGAAGTTCGCATAAAGGGACTATCCAAGCCCTATGTAAACCTACACACCCGAATACTCACATATAATGAAGGCACGAGTAATGTTCAGTTCAGGTTAATAAGGTCACATTATTTGTAACATCAGTATACGAAGATCCAACACTGTTTCGTGGGTGAGGCAAATGTTGGAAAGTCGAAATTACTCACATATTTTTATTGGGATCTAACTTTATATGGAAACAGGCAAAATCATGTGAACACCCTATCTTCAAAAAAGGGAGGTGTTTTATCCGATTGAAGAATGGCATTCGCTAGTGCTAGTTGGTGTAATTGGTTTAGCTCAGGGAAAAGATCATAGAAGCCGATATTCCGATTGGTGATTTTACCACGTGATATTTGATAGGGTCAAAAAGAAAACCGTAATAATCTGGAACTCGAGTCATTGTCAGACTTAACACTTAAACAGCTTAGCAGCCATGCTGCGAAAATTGATCTCTAAAATTCGGTCAGCATCAAAAAGTAGACATGCTTCTGATTGCTTACCATACAGTAGTAATTTCGAACCTGATATTCTTTGCACCAGTTTGTGGTTCTCAAAAATAACCGCACGAAATTGTAGGTTACTAGATCACACTCACTCATTACTGAAGTATCTCTAAGATTTAAAACTAAGTCAACAACTATGGTAAATACTAAAATAAGTAGTTTGTCACAAGTTCCTTCATTTTACAAGGCTTTAAATGAACAACTTAAATTTTTATCACTTCTGTTACAATAGTTTTGTATCCTATTGCGATTACGATATATATGCATCTCAATTTGAAGACTAAATGATTTTTTACGACTTCAAATTGCTCGTGAATAATGGTAATTGATAGTTTGTCACTAAGTTTTGCTGTGTAATCTCTGTATCATTATTTTGGATGTATCTTTTACTCATGGTCTAAAATAGTTATTTATTTATTTCATTGATAGCCTGGAAGTTTTGTTGTCCGAGATAGCGGAAGTCATCCAAATAGCTTTGCGTTATCAGTACGTTCTAGTAATGGACAAGTAGCTGGTGGCTGTTTCCATTCTAGACAACCACATATACCAGGAAATCGAATCAAAGATACAGCCTCCCAGTTGACATCAGTTTATCCATCTTCTACAAGTGGAATAACTCACTTTCTTATCCAGAAGACATCTGGAGGTGGTGTGAAACTCAAAGTAAGTAGACTGAATGGTGCTTATTATATTTCAAAATGTTCCTGGTTTACCAAATCGATAGATTTCATTTTGCATTTAGAAGTATTTCTCATTACAAATAGATACTAGCTGAGTTATTCGTTACTGTAGTTCAGGGGTTATTGGTTATTTATTTTATCCTAATGTATTATATAGGAGATGAAATGCGAATAACACTTGGTGCCAAATAATTCGCACTGTATGTGTTGGTTGTTTGTAGTTTACTTTCCCGAAAAGACCGATTAAAGCCTTATCATAACGTTGTTGGGAAGGACAGTTGTTTTATAGTTTTGTATGTCATTTAAAAATCCTATACTAACCACTGTAAGCTGTAATGAAAGGTGATATAAAGGACTATAATAACTGGGAATCCTTGTCTTTTGACGAAAGCACCGTTCTACTAAATTCTTGTAGCACTGAATGTGTAATTTTACCATCAAATATAGATCATAATGTGAGTCACGTATATTATATGAGTAGCTTATTTTGGTCTTCTTGACTCAGCAATTCTTTACACAGGAAGTGCAGTTCCAGTCAGCGTAGCTCTATTGGGCTACGTTGATATGTAAGTTTAACTGAAACATCATCCCGAAAAGACCGATATTAAGTAACTGGTTATCTAGAAATACAGAGTTAACATGTTCACTGGAAAATATGAATAAACATCAGAAGCTCTCAGAAAGCAGCAATAAGTGATAAAGTTTCTTCTAGTGTTATATATATTGAAAGAGCTTAGTGTCTAATAGTATGCCCGCATTGTTTTTTCCTTGCAATTTTTAAACTAGTGGATACTCTTTATCACTTATAAGTGATTTTATAACATGAAGCTATTCAATTTATAGGGAATCGTCCAGGTAGTACCTAGTTATAATTACAATATTGGACGAATGTGTAGTTTCATCAAATTCGAATTATGACAACTAAATAAGCAACCTTTAATTGAAAAATATAGTTTTTAGTGTAGCATCTTTGCCAGTTAAATTCTAACATTTAAATATTTGGTTTTATACTCTTAATGTAATTTGTTTGACAGGTTATTAGCATTCTAGAATTCAAAATATTTATCCTCAAAATTCATTACTTTATAAATCTCAGTCTAACAAACCTTACTCAGTGTGTCGTAATTCAATAAAACGATTTCTTGTTTATTAAACGTGTTTTCGACGTTTAAACTGTTATTATTACACTGATTACGATAATTTTTGGATATTTTAAGATGATTATTATGGTCCTTTGTATTGCACAACAATTAATCCTTTCTTTTTTATGTTTGAAAATCCTCAATCCTCGTTTATAATCCATGCTGATTTTTTAAAATTTATTTTAGGGACTAGATAAAGAATGGCCATCGCTTGCTTGTCTTGTTTTACACTTAACTGTAATGCCTGAAATGCTCCCTTGCCCACTTCGACTTCCAAGAGCTGCAGCAAATCCCACCTTCTCGCCTACTGACCATTGTGTTGGTCATAATGACTTTGAGAAACCGCCTAATGTTACCCCGTCACAATTTCGTCCAATGTGCAATGCCTTACAACGTGTAACAGATACGATTTCACTAGATGAAGCTTTAGCTCGTCTAACAGATGAAGACGAAGATTATCAACGTTTATCTGATTTCTCTTCCATTATGGCTGATTTAAAATTACAGCCTAGAAATGTGAATAGAAAACATAAAGTTTCATCTAAATCCGGTGGCCGTGGTAGATAAATACTTTTTTTTGTTATTGTTATGATGCGAAATCTTATTATAAGTTGTATTAGTACTATCACTTTACTACCTATCAATGTTTTGTGAGATAATTGTCTTACTTCTTTTTTTTTCTTACCTTTGTAAAGTTTCTGTATTTGTGTGTGTGCGTGTGTATGTGAGAAAGAGTTTTTATCGTATATATTATTTTCTCTATTGCAATACAAACTACCTCTTCAAATGAAACTAAATACCCAATGTGTGTCTGGAAAAGGAAAACAACATTTCTAGTCCAATTTCTATTAAATTAGTTTATTATTTTTTCTCTCTCTTAATTATCCATTTTGCTTGCTTTAAACGCATAATGATATGTAATGCGTACGCTAAGTTATATTATAATATACGTATTACATTTACATTATTTTATTGTTAATTAAGTAATACTAGTTAGTATTAATTGAATTATAATCATGACTTGATTTCATTATTCTTTTTTTGTTGTCCATTGTTATAGGTATATGAATTTTTTTTTAAATTCAATATTATTGTCATTAATTTTGGTTCTATTCACTTTTTAATTGTTTAATTATAATTTATTATGTATATTCTTTCTATTTCTCTAATAATTTTCACCCATTTTAATAAGAAAATCATTATTACTGGAATAGCATGAATGATAACATGTTGTAAAGTCACTGTTATGTGCTGCTGCCCAACCAGTTCGTTAGAGGTCTTATTATTAATAATAATAATATTTTGGTATATTAATTTCTGGTTTTTTTTTGACAAACCGGTATAATTCATTCATTCTCACTGAAATGTACTATTTAACATTTCCTCCCTTTTTTTCTTCATTTGCTTCATCCTCTTATTTTTACCTCTCTTTTTTTCTTAGAAATAAGGGAATTAACGCAAAATACTACCTGGTGTATTTATTTGTTTAAGTAAAGTGTTAAAGCATTTAACTGTTATATTTTCATCATTTGCAATTTTATATATATATATATATATATATATATATATATATATATGCGTACATCATGTCAAGGGTATTCATTTTAATTGTCTTTTTACCATTGAAAATAAAGTGTACTTTTATTGTATTTAAATTTTTGCTTTCTGTTTTCTCTTTTTCAATATATATTTAAGTAAGATGATTGGATTCGGTGTTTTTTCTTCATAAGTATAAAAGGTTGTAAATATCTTTCTGGATTAATTAGTATATACTACAAGTGTACCATTACTGTCTTTAAGTTTACTTTCTATTGAGATATGTTTATTTACAATTTATTTCTCAATTGTTCATGTCCTAATGTCGACTAAGTATCGTGTTTATATTTTGAAACATTGATACAAATAACTTATGAAGGCCAAGCATTTTCATCCTATAATTTATTTGTTCGGACACAAAAGTTAGTACAAAGGGGCACTAAATACATATGCGCCACACGATAATAATAAGGTTGTGAAGAACTAGAGAATGAAGGGTTAGTATTATAAAGGAAAAGCAACAACGAACAGAAATTGGTGAATGAGAGTGAAATAACAATAGTAATAGTATCTATACTAGTGATAGTAATAATGATAATAATGTGATGAACAATTCATTTAGAGAAAAAAAAATACAAGAAAGAATTTCTAGTCAAAGAAATCACGTTTACTTTTATGAAGAAAGTAGAGTCACAGCAGGATCGCCACTGGCTTCTACTCTGAGCCGTTTTTGATAACATCTGAAGCCACTGTGTTTCACTGTCTCCAGGACCCCAACCAGGGAGTCGTGAAGGTCCAACAGAAGCAAGTCCTGTACAGCTTTCTTTCATAATATGACGCTAAGCTATGTGCTGATCACTCGGCTTTTCACAACCAGTCCCAGTGTTAGCAAATAATGTATGACAAGTAATTCTGTGGGACGACATTCGTAGAACATGTCCATGCCACCGAAGTAGGTGTTTCAAGATGGTGACATCGATTGCATTATCATCTCTGTGCCCGAACACACGATGCCGGACCTCTGCATTACTAACATGGCGTTGCCACTGGATGTCAGCAATCCTTTGGAGACAACGATGATCAAACACTGAAAGTCGTCTAACATCCTCAACTCGGAGAGGCCAGGTTTCACAAGCATAGAGCAAAAGTGGTCGACTGAAACGTAAGATAAGATTAGCTCAGACAAGGGCATGATCAGAGTCCAGATAGGTACTCCAGAAGGAGAGACTGTCTTGCACGCAACCACGACAGCGGTAGCTAATCGCGTTGTGATCAATCTGAGTGTAGGTTTGAGGTGCAGTGAAGGGACATGAGAAAGCACATCGGCGATGACTGTGCCGGTCATTAGTGCTATCCAGATACGGGTTGTAGTCTGCACAAAATTACAGTAGACGGTCAGTCGAACTTATAAAGGAATAAAACGACTTTTTTACTTCATAAAATTTAAGGTATCTTTTATTATGTTTATCGTGAATACTGATGCTGCTCTTTCTACGAATAAATGTAAAGTGACAGCATTGAAATTTGGACCACCTTTCTTGACCAGTTTGTCGAAGGTGCGGACTTAGCAGACTTTTTGTATTGAATAGACTGATACGCAATTCTTAAACCAAGTTTTATTCCTATTATGTAGAACATAGAAATAAGTATTCTACTGTATTCTTATTCACTAGTTATTTGTAATACACAGAGGCAAAGTACATTAGATACATTTGGCTTACTGTCTAACCTGTTTTTGGTGTTATTCTACCGAAATTATTAAAAGTCCACATTGTTTTCCAATTACTTTTAATGCCAATAAATAACGTTCATACTACATCTGTGTACTTCACATCTAGTTGCTTATTTTTATTAGACATCTCGTTTTCTTTTGAAGTTTTATCAGACTGTATTTTTGATTATGTGATAATGAAGTAATTGCAAGCTCAACGCTAACAATTATTTCTATTATTGATTGTATCACGACCACAGGTTCAAATCCTTAGTCTTTGAAGGTGTAGAAGAATGAGGAATACGAATACGATACTGCAAACAGTTCTAAGTAATCCTATCTCAAGTTTTCAATACATAAATACAGGGGAATCGGGAAATCCGCTAGTTGTGTGAAAATTTTTACGTTTTAGTAATTAGTTGTTATATCAATCTTGTAATATTTCGATGATGATATGTCAGTACGTAAATAATGATCATCAGTATGTTAGGTGATATCGTTTCCCGATAACATAAATACCTGATTGAATTCTCAAAATGACCAAGTTGTTCCATATATTTAGTGCCTTTAATAGATTTAGAAATAAAACTAATTTCTGTTTTTGCATATCAACGTTTACTATCCTTAGTGTTAAAACTTTTGTCTTCTTCCTGCTATTACGATGTTCACACTGCTTTCGAACATACATTTCAACTTTATTAACTAAAGTACTTATTGTAACTTTTAGCTGTTCACAGTTGATAAAAAGAATCTGAAATAGGATGAATCCACTTTTTCTTAAAATCTTATTGTTCTCGCTTTGTTTAGATAAAGTATTTGTTCATTATTATCATGTAATATTTACAAAGTACACCTTAATATTCCGTTTCACAATTAGACTTAGAATACTTAGTCATATAAGAGACCTTCTTTCTACATTTTCAGAATTATGTTGAGAGAATTTTAAATAATTTAATACCAAATATTCGAAAACGTGGTTTAACTCCTTTCATTGCCTTTATCTATCTTAGTTCTTGTTCTTAATTTTAAAGGCGTAAATATTTCCTAGTCGAAATTTTCGTTATCATACAGCACTAAAACAAATAGCTGTACAAACTATGTATGAAAATACAGTGACTGTAAAATGGTTGTAGATTAATGTGAATCTCAGTTATTATCGTTGAAAGATATATGACGGTTTGGAGGGTAAATTTTCTGCAGTACTGAATTTAGTCCATATTGTTTTCAGGAGACGAGTAGGTTTAGTTATCTGAAATTAATGAAATACGAAAAAAATGATCACTTACTTTTCATCGATAATAAAAGTTAGATTAATGACTTAAATACTACTCATGGTATTTATAACTAGATGATATTTAATACAAGTCGAATTCGGTTATTTATTCATTCTCAGAAAAATTGACTTAAGCTAAGTCATGAAACGTCAGAATTTTTAATTTCTACTCATTATGATTTATAAAATATCTCAATATTTTGTGCTCAATTTATTTGAAATTATCGAGTCGAACATGGGCTACGATATCTACATGCACTGTTATGTCACATATGTAGTGTCGTTCATATTCTAGTTAAGATGTTCGTTTGAAAGCTAAGTGGGGGACTCAAGATGTGACAGCTTGGCAATACCTTATGAAAATCATATTGTATTTGTTTAGTTTAAACGACAATGCAAACGTTAGCAACCACCTTTATTATTTATCTTTTCATTGATTACACGAGTAGAAAAAATTGTAAGTGGGAACTTGGCTTCGAGATAAACTAGCAAATATTTAGAGATCAAAACAGGATGACTGGAAATCCGTGACTATGAGTTTCCCCTTAATTTTAGTTTCGTCAACTTTATACCTTCAACATTTAATTATTACTCCAAATTTACTTTCCAATGATCAATCGATATTCTCTGTTTTTATTTTTATATCTGTTCACTACTTATATTTTCCTTCGTTCGTTGATAATGCATGTTTTTTCCACATTCGTAAATCAATCTCTGCCAGTTGTATCCACCAAATCAAAAGTAAACTCTGATATAATTGTCATGGAGGTATATTTCTAAATCACAACCTGTAGAAGTTCAAAATAATTTCATTTTATTACTTGTAGCTATTTGTTTATTTTTTAAAGTTTTCACTGGCAACTGGATATGATAAAGGAAGAAGAAAAATATAATTTAACCGTAACTTACTTGTTCATTGTGTGATTCAGTATTAGATCTTGTAGTAATTCTGTCAATAATTTGTCCAGCTAAATTCTTCACCAATGGATCCGAATCATTTGAATGCATATTATTTAAAAGTTGTAATAATGTTGAATTTGTAATTGAATCATTCGTATTTCCACATAGTTTACAATTTTTATTATTTGCATTATTATTTTGTGTTGTTTTTATTGTTTCGTTTATCTGTGATTCTATGAGTACAGTTAATGCTTTTAATGCAGCTATTCGTTTAATATTAGATTTTTGTTCTAAACCCCATATCATACTAATCCATATTGGTGATAATGAATTTAAATTTTGTTTAATGCAATTTTTATTCAAACAATATTGAATATGTATAGGTGGTCCCATTAAATAAAAAATGGGACGTCGAACTGTATTTCTACTATTCTTTTGGATTAATTGATGATAATCATTATTATAATTATTTGTTCCCTGAAGCATTTGTACATCATTTGGTAAGTGCAACTTTTGTTTTAAATTTGTTATGTGTTGGAAAACTTTATATATCTGCAAAATTATATTACAAAGAAAAGGGAATGGGTTAAGAAAACTTGTAGAATTCTGTAAATGTATAAACAAGCAGTTTATAAAGATAATTTTAGTCAGCCTCATTGTTAGTGCTGATCGTTACATTTAGTTGTCTGCGATTTTAACCAACTGTCTGTCTTCCATAGAATGATCACCACCATAAACTAACATAAGCTAGAGCATTACTAAAAACTAGGCAACATTGGACAACTGTTTCACTGGAATTTGAGACTCTTTGACAGTGTACACTCACAATTAAAAACTTTCACATCTTTCGGCATAAATAGTAAGAATGTGAAGCTGGAATCTGTGGAACCAAAGAAATAAGGGTTCTAATAGTAACTCACTGTTAGTCGTAAACGGTTTGCTAGATGTATATTAAACATTTTCAGTCTGATTTATTTCTGTTGTCGTTTTGTCCGTAGTAGTATAAGTTTGATGAAAAAATTCTCTATGACTGTCGGTATACCTTAATTTACGGTGCTCGGAACATTTTATACACTACAGTTTATATTCATTTTAAGTTATTTGTTATTTCGAATTTGAATTTATAATTTTGCCCTCTTTATTGGATGAAATAAAAAGAACTACCTTTTTGACACAATAAACTCATTATTTATTACTAAAATAATTGCTTAGAATGTAGTGCATTTAAAAGTAATATGAAACTCATGTTAACTACTTACCTTTTCATTCATTGATTTTAACAACATAATTG